GAACAAGCAAACCTGATAGACATTTACAGAACTCTCCACCCCAAATCCACAGAATATACATTCTTCTCAGCGCCACATCACACCTACTCTAAAATTGACCACATAATTGGAAGTAAAGCATTCCTCAGCAAATGCAAAACCACTGAAATCATAACAAACAGTCTCTCAGACCATAGTGCAATCAAGCTAGAACTCAGAATTCAGAAACTAACCCAGAACCGCACAGCTTCATGGAAACTGAACAACTGGCTCTTGAATGTTGACTGGATAAACAATGAAATGAAGGCAGAAATAAAGAAGTTCTTCGAAACCAATGAGAACAAAGACACAACATACCAGAATCTCTGGGACACATTTAAAGCAGTCTCCAGAGGAAAATATATAGCAATAAGTGCCCATATGAGAAGAGTGGAGAGATCCAAAATTGACACCCTATGGTCAAAATTGAAAGAGCTAGAGGAGCAAGATCAAAAAAACTCAAAACCCAGGAGAAGACAAGAAATAACTAAGATCGGAGCAGAACTGAAGGAGATAGAGACATGAACAACCCTTCAAAAAATCAATAAATCCAAGAGCTGGTTTTTTGAAAAGATCTACAAAATAGACAGACTACTAGCCAGAATGATAAAAGAAAAGAGAGAACAACCAAATAGATGCAATAAAAAATGATAAAGGGGAAATCACCACAGATTCCACAGAAATTCAAACCATCATCAGAGAATATTACAAACAACTCTATGCACATAAACTAGTAAACCTGGAAGAAATGGATAAATTCCTGGACTCCTGTGTCCTCCCAAGCCTGAACCAAGAGGAAGCTGAAACTATGAATAGACCAATAGCAAGGTCTGAAGTCAAGGCAGCAGTTAAGAGCCTACCACTCAAAAAAAGCCCAGGTCCAGATGGGTTCACAGCCAAAATCTACCAGACACACAAAGAGGAGCTGGTACCATTCCTTCTGAAACTGTTCCAAATAATCCAACAAGAGGGAATCCTTCCCAAATCATTTTATGAGACCAACATCATCCTGATACCAAAACCCGGCAGAGACGCAACAAGAAAAGAAAACTTCAGGCCAATATCCATGATGAACATAGATGCAAAAATCTTCAATAAAATACTGACAAACCGTTTGCAACAGCACATCAAAAAACTTATCCATCATGATCAAGTAGGATTCATCCCGGGGATGCAAGGCTGATTCAACATACGCAAGTCTATAAATGTAATTCACCACATAAACAGAACCAAAAACAAAAAACACATGACTATCTCAATTGATGCAGAGAAGGCATTTGACAAAATTCAACAGCCCTTTATGCTAAAAACCCTCAATAAACTCGGTATTGACGGAATGTATCTCAAAGTAATAAAAGCTATTTATGACAAACCAACATCCAATATTATACTGAATGGGCAAAAACTGGAAGCATTCCCTTTTAAATCTGGCACTAGACAAGGATGTCCTCTTTCACAACTTCTATTCAATATAGTACTGGAAGTTCTAGCCAGAGCAATTAGGCAAGAAAAAGAAATAAAGGGTATTCAAATAGGAAAGGTGGAAGCCAAATTGTCTCTATTTGCAGACGACATGATAGTATACCTAGAAGACCCCATCGCCTCAGCCCAAAAACTCCTGAAACTGATAAGCAATTTCAGCAAAGTCTCAGGATATAAAATCCATGTGCAAAAATCACAAGCATTCCTATACACCAATAACAGACTTAAAGAGAGCCAAATTAAGGACAAACTGCAATTCACAATTGCTACAAAAAGAATAAAATACCTAGGAATACAACTTACAAGGAACGTAAGGGACCTCTTCAAGGAGAACTACAAACCACTGCTCAACGAAATCAGAGAGGACACAAACAGATGGAGAAACATTCCATGTTCAGGGGATAGGAAGCATCAATATCGTGAAAATGGCCATACTGCCCAAAGTAATTTATAGAATCAACGCTATCCCCATCAAGCTACCAATGACCTTCTTCACAGAACTGGAAAAAACCATCATGAACTTCATATGGAACCAAAAGAGAGCCCGCATAGCCATGTCAATTCTAAGCAAAAAGAACACAGCAGGAGGCATCACACTGCCAGACTTCAAACTATACTACAAGGCTACAGTAATCAAAACAGCATGGTACTGGTACCAAAACAGAGATATAGACCAATGGAACAGAACAGAGGCATTGGAGGCAACACAACATATCTACAACCATACAATCTTGGATAAACCTGACAAAAACAAGCAATGGGGAAAGAACTCCCTGTTTAATAAATTGTGTTGGGAAAACTGGCTAGCCATGTGCAGAAAGCAGAAACTGGACCCCTTCCTGTCACCTTACACTAAAATTAACTCCAGTTGGATTAAAGACTTAAACATAAGACCTGGCATGATAAAAACCCTAGAAGAAAATCTAGGCAGAACCATTCAGGACATAGGAGTAGGCAAGGACTTCATGACCAAAACACCAAAAGCATTGGCAAAAAACGCCAAAATAGACAAATGGGACCTAATCAAATTCCACAGCTTCTGCATGGCAAAAGAAACAGTCACTAGAGTGAATCGGCAACCAACAGAATGGGAAAACATTTTTGCAGTTTACCCATCTGACAAAGGGCTGATATCCAGAATTTACCAAGAACTAAAACAAATTTACAGGAAAAAAGCAAACAAGCACATTCAAAGATGGGCAAAGAATATGAACAGACACTTTACAAAAGAAGACATGCAGAAGGCCAACAAACATATGAAAAAATGCTCATCATTACTGGTCATTAGAGAGATGCAAATCAAAACCACATTGAGATACCATCGCACACCAATTAGAATGACGATCATTAAAAAATCTGGGGACAACAGATGCTGGAGAGGATGTGGAGAAATAGGAACACTTTTACACTGTTGGTGGGAGTGTAAATTAGTTCAACCATTGTGGAAGACAGTGTGGCGATTCCTCAAGGACCTAGAAATAGAAATTCCATTTGACCCAGCAATCCCATTACTGGGTATATATCCAAAGGACTATAAATCGTTCTACTATAAGGACACATGCACACGAATGTTCATTGCAGCACTGTTTACAATAGCAAAGACCTGGAACCAACCCAAATGCCCATTGATGATAGACTGGACTGAGAAAATGTGGCACATATACACCATGGAATATTATGCAGCAATCAAAAATGATGAGTTAGTGTCCTTTGTAGAGACATGGATGAATCTGGAGAACATCATTCTCAGCAAACTGACACAAGAACAGAAAATGAAATACTGCATATTCTCACTCATAGGCAGGTGATGAAAAATGAGAACACATGGACACAGGGAGGGGAGTACTACACACTGGGGTCTATTGGGGGGAATAGGGAGGGACAGCGGAGGGGAGAGCTGGGGAGGGATAGCCTGGGGAGAAATCCCAAATGTGGGTGAAGGGGAGGAAGGCAGCAGAACACACTGCCATGTGTGTACCTATGCAACTATCTTGCATGTTCTGCACATGTACCCCAAAACCTAAAATGTAATAAAAAATAAATAAATAATAAAGAAAATAAAAAAAAGAATAGACGTCAAAAGAAAAAAACAAAACAAGTAAGTGTAATTGCCTGGAAGTCAAGTGAGGAAAGTTTATCAATGTGGAAAAAGTAAATATTTGGGGATGAAAAGAAAGAAAGGAAAAACAATGGAAAACAAATAGTGAAAGAGAGAATTGCTTTGGTGATGTTCCTGAGTATGCCAAAGGGAACAACAAATGACCTTCCATATTGTAAACTACAAATGCTAACTTAATGTATTGACTATTTCGAGCAGTTACATTTTTGGCATGGCATATATACAATTCTCATAAGGAAAAATTTCTGGTATATTTACTAAAATTACACACATTTAGTAAATTATTGTTAAATATTGTAAATATGTGCATGAGGGAAGCAGTAAGAGCTAAACGAAATCATATTGTTGTATATTTCAAGTAGAAAGATCTCATATATTTCAAATTAAATTCTCTAAACATAATTATGAATTTCTGACAAGCACACTGGATCATCAAATTTAATGTGCTTAATATGTTTATAAATGAGAAGTATTTAAAATGTCAGAGGCATTTAAAATATTAAACACTTATATTTATCTAATAATTATACAACTGGTTCTTAAACATAATGTAGTACAATTAATTCTGTATAATTATGTAGGTAGTAATTTTGTAAATATGTAATAGATGTGTGTTTGTATGTTATATTTCATGTATCCTCTTATATATTATCTATTTATGTATTCAATACTTAAATATATATCTTTCTGTGTTATATTCATATGTATCAAACTGAGGAAAGTGAAAGTCAAAAGACAGGGCATGGATATGATGACTGAATATGAATAAGATGAAATTTCCGCCTCGAATTGGAAGCTGGATGCTAAATACTTGCAGAAATATTCTCAAGACTCTGCGGAACATGTTGAACTGCTTCTTAAACGTCAGCTTCGTCTGCTATATTCATATTGGACCATATCCCGAGCCTTTCATTTAGTTTAAAAATTCAGTGTCCCACATTCCATGGGTAACTTTCAAGTTTTAACCTTAACCAATTATTTTATAATCTCTTTCATAATGCTTGAAGTGAATAGATGATATTCCCTACTCTAATCCAGATTGCAAATATTTTCCTGTAGTTCTGGATTTTATGCAATTTATTATGGCTGTTTGGCTTCTGAAGCCTTTTCCTCTTTTTTTCCTACGTCTGACTTCTCATGACAAATTTAGAGTTGATTTATTGTGTGAGGACGGGCTTTTTTTTTAAGTTGAGAAACACTGAGGAAAAAGGAAGTAGATAGTGAGGGAAGGAGTAAGAATATTGTATAGAAAGAGAATATCTATACAATTTAATAATTATGTTAGCAAAGAGTTTAGAAATAGCTGAAGAGGAAAATAGAGTCATATCTGATCACAAGATAGAGGGATATTCCTTGAAAAAAATACTTTTTTTTAATTCAGTCCCCATAGAAACTACGAAAAATTGCCAACGCAGACTATATTTCAAGTCGTCATGGTGGGACATTGGGAAAAGTTTTCAATCAGCAATAATTGCACCTCGGATAAACCTCATTGGCTACAATACTGCCACTGTGCAAAGCTAATGTTTTCATTATCTTAATATTTATCTATTTTCACTGCCTTACAATACTGACAGGATTTTTTGGCCATGTCCATGTTTTAATTTTCTGCTCCCTACATGCATTTTAAACAAAATATTAAATTTTAAATTCCTTGCAATCTTTCTGTTATTCTATACTTCTCATTTGAACTTAACTAGTTGTCATTTCACCTTATTCTGATTTCTCTTTAGGGGTCTCTTCTTTTATTTAACAGTCTGGGTATATTTATATTTTATTTATGATGCTAGTTCATCAATTTCTTTTTTTAATTCTTTAACAAAGTAACCTACAGAACTAGTTATCTTCTTCTGAGTCAATAGGATAATTTTATATATTTTTTATTCTGTAGTATTTTTCATGCCAACTATTCATATTTATAGATTCTTGGGTGAGTTTGCTACCCAGCTATCACTTTAAATTGACTCTGTTGATATTCACTTCCAATCCTAGCTATATGATCAGTTCAGATTGAAGGCAAAACCCTGTGATGGACAAAATTACCTTTGTCAGATTGACTCTGGTGATAACGAATGTTTGTATTTTCTTCAAACCATTATACATTTATTTATATTCTATTAGAGGAAGAGGATCTAGGTAATTTAGTAGGTTAAGTGTTTTTTTCAGGTATACTGTCATAGTTATACTGACTTGTAATGTGGGGACCCTAATAGCACTAGAACTGAACTGCTTCATGAATACCCTGCAATGCAATAAATGGTTGCTATAAAATAACAGTGCTGTGAAAAATCAAGTTCCCCAAACATACAGAGAAAATTAGGAAGTTCACTTGGGGGAAAGACATATGGCCTAAACAGATTTTTTTTTCCCTCTCTCTTCAAGAGAAATCATTTGATCCATTATTTTAGGAATCAAGATTGATAGTTATCTGAAACTGGTATTTGAAAAAACAGGGGAAAAAAGAAATATTAATCAATTTATGACAAAATAAAACAGAACTATACTAGTAGATACTGAGTATTATTTGTAGACTAGGTACTTTTCTGATCCCTGCAAAGTAAGCTCTATCACCCACAATTTGCAGATAAAGAGATTGAGATAGAAACATGTAAGTAAACTTGTCTGAGAAAACCATAAAGTAAAAGTCAGAAGTGGTTTTTAAGTGGATACGGTCTGCCTCAGGTTCTATGATATTAAACTGTTCTGATAGAAGGTTCTTGGGAAATTTTTCCTCCTGGTCAGGTAGAAAAAAACAACCCAAGTATAATGACCAGAATAAGCAGACCAAACTCAGAGCTTGAGATCCCCATGTCCCACCAGAAATACTTTTTGTCTGTTTTTCAAGCTACATAGTTTGTCTTTAGAAGTACATTCTAGATCCTTCTACAGTAAAAGTAGTGAACAGACACCTACTGATGTAGGCTACAAAAGACATTTGGCAATTGCGCATCCTAAAAATTGGCCCATGTTTGAGATAGTAAAAAGCCCCTGACAGTATCTTCAGATTTGACCATTCTTGTAAGCATTATGATGCTTAATAAGCAGAGAACTTCTTACAGAGATTCTTCTGTTCTCTCTCCATTTATCAGAAGAAGATTTCAATGATTGCCTTATATATTGAAAATCTATTTTTAGAAAGCTGACCATACCAATAAAATCATATAATACTTCATATACTTCTGGCTTTGCACTATAAAAGATAATATCTTAAGAAATCATATGTAGTGCTATATTGCTAACCATACATCAGCTTTTTTTAAAGGCAAATGGACATTCCAAAAGGGGTTGCACATTTACATTTTTTTTTCCAGTACTTAGAGAGCCGATATTGAGAATATTCTGAGAATAAAAAATAAGCTATTTTCTTGTCATTCGCTTGGAATTCCAGTATTGACATTATGGGCACTAGTGATTTCTTTGTAGAAATCTTTTTAATTGAATTGCTGTTTCTATGATAAAATAATATGATAGAATTGAATTACAATAAAATATAACAGGATACTTAATTATGCTCCTCTTGTATACCTGATTATGAGAACTGCATTCTGTGTTTCAACCCCTTAAAATGAGGACTGTTTTGAAGTGCATAGTGTTAGAATATTGAGAACTAGAAATGTTAATGTGTCCAAGAGAGATTAAAGCCTCTTGAGTTCATATGGCATATTAATTTTGGCTTTTCTTCAGCTTTGAATTCCCACTATTTAGTAACTTTGAAATTTCATTTCCTTTTTGGACTATTCTCAACACCACTATGAATCTAATATAGCAAAATTGGGCTACCATCCAAGTGATACAAGCCCCATGCACTGGGGAGACCTGGGAATGGTGGATTCTGCTCCAAGACTGAGATAGAATAGCTCTTTATTTTACAGACCTTTACTTTATTTTTACTTAACCTTCCTATATTTGACATGAGAGCAACACAGTCTCATGAGAGATGTGAAGCTAAAGGAACAGGGCCAAAGAGGCACATGCAGTTTCTTTTGAGCCAAAGTCCTGTAGATTTACAGGTCTTCCTGATCAACACTTGATCTAATCCAGTGGTTCTCAAAATATGGTTCCTGAATATCACGGTCACCTGGCAAGTACAAATTTTCAAGTCCCAGGCTAGACCTGGGAATGAGTGTCACAGTCTGTGTTTCGATAAACCCTTTGGATGAATCTGATGCACGCTGAAGTTTGAAAACCTGTGGTGTCCACATCACCTCGGTTAAGCCTACACAGGGGTTTAAGTCTATGAAAGTAGAGCAATACATAGAGTGATTTTTGTTTTTCTGCATTGTTGCTGAGCCATAAATAATCTACTTGTAAATCTTTGATGATAGCAATGGGTTTACATTTAAAAAGTTGGAGGTTAAAAGTTATGACCATTTGATTTCTGCCTCTCTTTCATATACAGTTTATTCTCATTACTTACAAATTCCCCCTTTGTGAAGTTGCTTACTTGGTAAAACTTTTTGTAATGCAAGAATCAATTTTGTGGGTACAAACAGACATATCCAGTATAGTAAAAATGTGAATTGTCCAATAAGCACATTTCCAGCTGAGATCAAAGTGATATCTTGCCTTCTTATTTTAGCTCACAAACAATAAACAAGTGTCCTTTCATTATCTATTTAGTGCCATACTTTTTACCTTTTTTGCTTTTCACTGGTGATTTCACTGCTTAGAATGTCCCCCAAGGATATTGCTAAACTGTGGCCCTTTTCCCTAAACACAAGAAGACAGAAAGAATGTGCCTTATGGAGAAAATATGTGTGTTAGCTTAGCTTCATTCTAGAATGAGCCACAGTCCTGTAGACATAAGGTCAATGTTGCAAATCGAAAGTATATATTAAATATGTTGTCTTTAGACAAAGAGACACAAAAACACAAGGTTATGTATTGCTTTGATCAGATGATAAAAATATTGTAACCAGACACTTGAAGGACCATAACTTTGTATTTTCCCTGGGAGCAATGGCTCAATATTGACTGATTATGTGTTTGCAGCAAATGTATAGAATGTATCAGCCACCAGCAATAAAAACCAGTTGTATATAATTTATATTTCTCAGTTATCTGCCAACTTACATATATCACAACTCCAACTCGTGCTATATTAAGAATATTTTTTTACATTGACCTAATCTTGTACTTCCAAACTTATTTTAAGATTGATTTAATGTCTGACTTTCAAACCCTTCTAGGACAATTTGTAATGACTTGTTGAAATCTTTTTTTCTATAGTATAGTTGTAAATCATGACAAATTTTATGTTGACTAAATATTTGATTTCAGCAGCATCCAAATATGTTTCCACTATCTGATAAAGAGGAACTCGTTCTAATTCTCATCATGGAGGCACATGGAACGAAGTTAATCTACTCTACGAAAACATGCTTTGGCTAAACTGGAAATTTAGAACTAAAAATGCTAAGGAAATAGATTGGTGGAAAAGCAGATTTCATGAATTGGCTCAAGCATTAGCAAAATTTTTACTGTCTTGTGTTTTAGATGGAGCTGTTCACCATCTTCTGCCCATGTTAAAACCTTTGGACCTATAGCTATTTATCTCCATTAGGTTACATAAAATGGTATAAAGCACACTATAGTGCAGTGCTCTCTACAAATTACATGCTTTTGGAATGCTTTCTTCTTATTAACTATTACTATACAAATATATTTGACAATTTGATCCTTGGGATTTTTTTTCTGGTTTATTTATTTTTACTCAGATGTATTCTTTTAAAGCATTAGTAAAGATTTTCAAGGGGTGGATACAGAGGTGAACAGCAGAACTTAAGTAGCCAAAATATTTACTCATGTGAAATTATGAATTGTTAATTAACAGAAGCAACTGTCAAAATCATGAGATACTGTTTCCACCACCTATTTATATTGCTAGGGTATGGGGAAAACTCATGTCTGCTAATCATTCAGCTTTAGAAGATATCCAAGCTTTCACATACTGTGCTCAATGGTGAATCTACTAATGCCAATTTCCTTTTTTTCTAATAAACCTCCTAAAAGACGCAAAGCAGTTTAGAGAATCAATTAAATCTCTGGTATTTACATTTTAATTTTTAAATATAAACTTTTTTGGGAACCATAAGATGAAATATATTTAATAGTAAAAATGAGGAATTAAATGGTTTTAGCTATTTTTAAAATTTTTTAATTTTTTTTTTTTTTGAGAGAGAGTCTTGCTCTCTCACCCAGGCTGGAGTGCAGTGGTGCAATCTTGGCTCATTGCAACATCTGCCTCCAGGGTTCAAGTAACTCTACTGCCTCAGCTTCCTGAGTAGCTGAAATTACAGGTGCCAGCCACCAAGCCCAGCTAATTTTTGTATTTTTAGTAGAGACAGGGTTTTACCTTCTTGTCCAGGCTGGTCTTGAACTCCTCACCTCTTGATCCACCACCTCAGCCTCCCAAAGTGATGGGATTACAGGCATGAGCCACAGCCCATAGATTAAAGTTCTATCAGAAGTTTAGATAACTTACATTTTAATTTCAGAATTTCCTTTGGCTTTTATGATTTT